ATTGATCTTGCCATCTCTACCACAGTCTGGTTTTTCCTTTCTGCTACCCCGTTCTGCTCCGGAGTATAAGGGGCTGTTAGTTCCAGTTTTATGCCTTACTCTTCACAGAAGGTGATGATTCACCTGTTGTAGATTCACCACCTCGATCTGTCCTCAACACCTTCAAGAATTTTCCACTTTGTCTTTCTGATAAAGATTTGAACTTCTTGAAATTTTCGAAACATATAAAGATTCATTCTTATTTGGACCGCACAAGAAATACCTGCTACCAGATAAAGATTCATTCTTATTTGGATCGCACAAGAAATACCTGCTACAAGATAAATATTAATTCTTCATTGGATCACACAAGTCTGCAAGTACAATCTCCAAAACATCACTTGCTCGTTTCGAATTTTTGACTGGAAAAGCTTTCTTTGCTTGCTTTCCAAGCACACACTTTTCGCATACTTTATTCCGATCATTAATGCAGCAAAGTCCTATAACCATTATTTTGTTTTTCAACAGTTGCAACCCTTTGCTACTGAGATGGTCATACCGCAAATGCCTAATATAAGTGTCATTTGACTCTTTATTAACCAAAGAAACTTCTAGATCAAGACAAATTACAAAAGGAAACATTTAGTTGTTATAATAGCTTGAGCAAGAACCTTACCTGATCCCTTGTTCTTTATCATGCACCGAGTGTCATAAAAAACCATAAAGTAACCAAATTCAATCAGCTAACCCACACTGATTGAATTGTGAGCAAGACACAAAGCATAGTCGACATTATTGATAAGTTTGGATCTCTCACCTGCTTTGATCACACCCATCCCATAACCTTTGATTTTTAATTTCTCATCAGTACCAAGATGAACCTGAGATTTAATTGATTCATTGAGATTTTTAAACTTGGACTTATCTCCTGTCATGTCGTGAAAGCACCCATTGTCTAGGTACAAAACGTCAATTGTGTAAAACATGAACAAGTAATCCTCTTATTCTTCTTTTTCTTCTTCTGCAAAATTGGCTTCTTCAGGTTTAGACCAACATGAATTCTCATTGTGTCCATACTTCTTACAGTGAGAGCATTGGACCATAGAGTTACGACCTCTTCCCCTTCCTTGAAAACTGCCATGACTACGTCCACGTCCTCTTCCTCTGAAATTAGAGGTTCTTCAACTTTCTCTATTGATATGTTGATCCTTACTTTATGAGTTTACAGAGAGCCCATTAGTTCATCAAAGGAGAACATTGACAGATCTGGATTCCTCAAGCAGCTACGACATGATCAAACTTAAGGGATAGACTTCTCAAAACTTTAGCAACTATAGTTCCGTTAGCAGTTACTCCTCCATAAGGATCTGACTTACTAGAGAAGAAATATGTGGCAAGTACTCTTGAACAGATTCATTTCCTTTCATATTAGCGGTTTCAAACTTACAACGAAATGATTGAAGCTTCACAATAATTACTTTTGAAGAACCCTGAAATTCGGTTTTGAAGATTGACCAAGCTTGCTTTGCTGTGGTTTCCCCTACAATGCAGGAAAAAAAATCGTCTCATCCACTGCTTATTCGATGAGAAATAGGGCTTTAGCATTCCTTTTCTGATTCTCCTTCAGTTTTGCATCATATTTAACAAAGAGAATGGAACCTGACTGTGATACCAGATTGTTGGAAAGATTGAAATAAACAGAGAAGAAGCTAAACAATTACTAATCAACTGATAAGATTTATCTAAACCAAACACGTGGCCTTATATAGGAAGTGCAACCTAATCTAATAAAGCAAAAAAGATAAATACTTTAAATAACAAACTCACAACCTGTCTAGGTAGAAATCAGGAAACTACAACTGGAGAATTGACTCTCCTTATTTGACTATAACTGACCTAGAAATCTGCAAATTGAATTAATCTTCCAACAGGGGGAGGGGCATATTGAAGCAAACAAAAGGAGGTAATGGTGGATTCATGAAACCAAATAGATATGATGGGAAACAATGAGAAACCTAAAGCAATCCCTAAAGAACACCCAAAACCATCAGAAATCGGGTGACAAATGGTGATAAATTGTCTGAAATTGGGGGGGGGGGTCAACAGTTTTACATCCAAACAGTGAGAACCCATCTGAAATCGAAACCAGAAACTGTCTGAAACCGAAATCGCCTGAATCAACACTTGAAACCCGAAATGTCATTCTTCCTCCTCGTACCCATCTAAAAACGCACAAAAAGATGTTGTTAGGCCGAATTTGGAGATTCTTGTTATTGCCTGCGATTTTGCAGTAGTTGGAACACCACTCATTAGTTGCTTGAGATGTTGAATTTGCCTAAGATCGCTTTTTTGCATGGATTTCGGCTTTTGATTCAGATTCTATTTATGGCTTTATATACAGATTTCTTTACGATTTGAGGCTCATAGGTTCTTGAAGTTAAAGGTTCATATGTTCTTGAATTTAAAGGTTTAAAGAGATGGCTACTGAAGGAAAAACTATAAATAAGTGAAAATGTTAAGAAAAACTAATAAAACGATGAAAAGACCAATTTGCCCTCATACTTAACAGAGAAAATGGACGAACATTGGGGAAGGGATCAAATCCAAGACAAATTATATAGGTAGAGGGTTCTTAATAATAAATGAAGATAAATGATCAAATCCATAAATGACAAACGTCGGGGATCAAATCTGTAATTTATTCTTAATAGAATATTATTTCTCTCTTTTAAACATCTAATTTTAAAAGTTCTTATTGATGAACTAAAGAAATATTGTCTTTCTCAAGGTAATCAATTTTGGAGAATTTTATAAATTTATGGAATTTCAAACACTCTCTCCTACTTTATAGATTTTGCTAGAAATTTTTTGGAGAATTTGTTGAAGTAAAAACTGACTCAAAATCCCAAAATCTTCATTTTAAATAATTTGTTGGAGATGCTCTAAGTATTTGATGCTAACAACAAAGTGGTTCCGAGAAAACTTGAACTGTTACAATGCCTTTCTATAACCTCATATCTACTCCATATAGTACCGAAAAAGACTGAACCCAATAAAAATTGTCTTGTTATCTTCATTTCTATCTCTTTTTATTTAAGTTTTTTTTACCCACTATTAACTGCCCCAAGTTCAGAATTTTGACATTGAGATCTCTTATACAAGCGTTTTTTACGCACAACAATAAAATTGATCAGTTTAGGACATCTGTCTATCCTAATAAAATATATAACGGAATTTCAAGTTTAAATACTAAAACTCCGCATCTTTTTTACCATAAGTTATTAGAAATAAAGATCGACTGGTTAACAATTTCTATCCTTATAAATATAAGTTATTAGGATATAATTGGGGTAAGAAAATATCGGATTAGTTTTTTTCTAAGAGACTTTTAGAGAGAAAAAAACTATTTATTAACTAATAAGATGTTTTATTATAAAAATAAAACATGTTAAGTTATATAATTTTATCTTAATAATCTACTGTAACATCTTTATATATGATCTCGTATAGTTTTAATTCTATAAATCTAAAAATACCATCAAATACATGATGGTTAAATTTCCTAATAAACTTTATGGTACTAGATTGTTTTGTTATTAATGAGCGATGTAGCATTTTAAGACATAGTAGAGCAAGTAAACCATGACTACGTCTATATATACATATACTAGAAGGGTACTCGTGCAATGCAGTGAGATAAATTTCAATTTTAATATTTAGTTTTTATTTTGTCTCTATCGATATAATACGATTTTATACGGTTTTGAGAAAACGATAATGTTTTTATATTTGAATGAATATAAATTTGAAGATAGCACAAAAATTTAGAAAAATAAATAAATCGATATTAGTATCAAATTAACTACTTAATAGTTTTTTTTTTTTTTTTTTGTAATTCAATTTTTATTTAATAAAATATTATTTTTGATTTAATAATATAATTTTTTATAAAGATAATAATTAAACATTTTGTTAGAACTCAATAATTATCTTTATTATATTTTAGGTTTTCTATATTCAAAATGGATGTTTATCCTGTATTTCAATTACACGTATTTTAAAATGAAGCTTTAATAAATTGTATTTATGCAAAATTGTTTGTAATCTTGAATTTTAAGTAATATGCATCAATAAACGGTACTTCATGCATATAAAATGATTTTTAAAAGTTTATGTCAAATACTTTATAATATAGTATATATATATATATATATATATATATATATAGAGAGAGAGAGAGAGAGAGAGAGAGAGAGGGGAACAATCAAACGTAAACCATCAATTTGTACAAACCGTGCAAACCACTTAATCTTATGAATTTTTTTTCATTAAATTGTTTAATATTGTGAAATTGTTTCATATAATACTTTTTTATTGATTAAGTTGCTTCATATATGGTTATGAAATTGTTTTATATAATACTTAAGAAAATTTTAATGAAACTGTTTCATGTATTTCTTTAAAATTAAAATAATGAAGATGATAATATCAATGATTAACACCCTCCACAATAAAAATGATTAATTAACCTCTCATAATTATAAAAAAAATAACAAAATGAAAAAATATAATTGGTTGAATGAGATTTGTACGGTTTGTATAAATAATGTGATTTGCAAAGTAAACCTCTAATCCTCTATATGTAATATATATATATATATATATATATATATATNGATTTGCAAAGTAAACCTCTAATCCTCTATATGTAATATATATATATATATATATATATATATATATGTATATGTGTGTGTGTATATATATATATATATATATATATATACACGTATGTATATGTATATATGGAAGTCTCAAACGGCATTGTCCTTTCTTTAAAGCATGCATATGTTGTATACCCACAAATGAAAACAAATTTTAAGAACTCAAAACTGGGGTGGTCATTATCTGCTGACCTCAATTATAAGTAACGAATTCAAGTGAAGGCTATACTATCAACTGCCTTCATACTCATCTTAGTACTATATACTGATACTAGACACAAAGATAGCCATACCCAGATGGCAGGACTGCAGCATGAATCACGAACAACAGGAGGCAGTAACCGTGTTTCAGCTGTTGATCTTACTTCTATTGTTAACAGTAAAGACTATGATCATAAACACATGAATCATGATCAGGTCTTCATTATTCAAATCTTTCTGTTTGCTTTTCATCTGACTTCTGTTGTTAAATTTCATTTTTGAAATTTATTATCTTTCAGAAACCTGGATGGAGAAATTTTCTATCATTTGTTGGCCCTGGTTTCCTAGTTTCATTGGCTTATCTTGATCCTGGCAACAGTAAGTTGTTATATATATATATATATATATATATATATGTATATATATATATATATATGTATGTATATACACACACACATATATCTTAATCTGTCAATAATTTCTATGCAGTGGAAACTGATTTACAAGCAGGTGCAGACCACAGATACGAGGTAAACCTTCATGCCAAGAACTTAACCATATACTTATATAGCTTAATAAAAACACCATTTTTGATCATCAAGCAAATGTATGTTTCAGCTACTTTGGGTGATTTTAATCGGGTTAATTTTCGCACTCGTGATTCAATCTCTTGCTGCAAATCTTGGTGTAAGCACAGGTAAGACAATGAATCAATCCCATGAATTTATTTATGTATTGGGAAATTAAAATAAATATTTAAAATCGGTGATCTTTCTTTCTTTCAGGGAAGCATTTATCAGAGCTATGCAAAGCTGAATACCCCATTTTGGTAAAGTATTGCTTGTGGCTGCTAGCTGAGATTGCAGTCATCGCTGCAGATATTCCTGAAGGCATGGCTTTCTAAACTTATCTACGAAACTAATCCTATGTTTTATTTATTTATGTTTTTTTAATATAAAACTGATTAAGTTTCCTTTGATGTTGGCAGTGATTGGGACGGCTTTTGCACTGAATATCTTATTCAAGATTCCTGTTTGGGTTGGCGTTCTTCTCACTGGTTTTAGCACCCTCCTCCTTCTTGGCCTCCAAAAATATGGGGTAAGTTTTCTCCTTGCAACCATGGTGGACCAAAGTCCGATCGTTTTCATTCTTTACTCGTTATTGAACGTTTTTGATCAAGTTGAATCCAGAAATGAAGATATGTTTATTTGGGTGTATTTGAGCTCTAACGTACTAGCAAACCCATGTGTATATGTAGGTGAGGAAGCTCGAAATATTGATAGCCATTCTAGTTTTCGTGATGGCGGGTTGTTTCTTTGGAGAAATGAGCTACGTGAAACCGCCAGCTGCTGATGTGCTAAAGGGAATGTTTATTCCAAAACTTAGTGGCCATGGCGCCACCGGAGATGCCATTGCGTTACTTGGTGCACTTGTCATGCCGTATGATCCTAATACCTGCGAAAAAAACCTTTGATTTCGTATTTGTGATTCGCTAAAATGTGCTCTTATTCTTATTATCATCCATTTGACCACCTAATAGGCATAATCTCTTTCTCCATTCGGCTCTTGTTCTTTCTCGCAAGATACCAAATTCAGTTCGTGGCATCAATGTAAGTCCTTAAACTGATAAGTCTTGAGAAGTAGCCTATTTTCACGAGTTCTTATTTCTTCATGCATGGATGGGGTTTTGAATTACAGGAAGCATGCAGATACTTCCTGATAGAGAGTGGTCTTGCTCTATTTGTAGCATTCTTGATCAATGTCTCGATGATCGCTGTTTCTGGCACCGTTTGCTCAGCAGACAACCTATCAAGTGACCAAAAAGATCGTTGCGATGATCTTAACCTTAACTCGGCTTCATTTCTTCTTAAGGTACCACTCCTAGAAATGGTTAGATTTATAACTATTACCCCAACAAAAAACTCATAATTCCCCAAATTTTTCACGACAGAATGTTTTGGGGAAGTCCAGCTCCACTCTTTACGCAATCGCTCTGCTAGCGTCAGGCCAGAGTTCAACAATCACAGGCACATATGCAGGCCAGTTTATTATGCAGGTCTCAGGCTTCAAAACCTTTTGAGTGACACTTTTTTGTTTCATAAAATGGTTAACACTAACCGCAATTTATTGCTATTATAGGGTTTCTTGGACTTGAAGATGAGGAAATGGCTCAGGAACTTGATAACAAGGTGCATTGCGATCACGCCGAGTCTAATAGTATCGATAATTGGTGGGTCGTCTGGAGCTGGAAGACTGATCATCATTGCATCGGTTTGAATCGCTTTGAATTTTTATACTATAATTACACTACTCCGTGGATGTTTCTTCAAAACTTAATTTATATATTGATCTTTTGCAGATGATACTCTCCTTTGAACTTCCATTTGCACTCATTCCACTCCTCAAGTTTAGTAGCTCTGCTACCAAAATGGGACCTCACAAAAACTCAAGAATTGTGAGTTATTAATCTTGTAATTCCCATCTGTTCCAAATACTTTATATGGTGAGAACACATGGAACCCAGTAGATCATTCTAAGAAAATATCCCATGAAGAGTGAGAAGGGTGGTTCTCACGTATATCTAAGAGAAATGGTCCATAGTCTAGCCGACATGTGACTCCAACACATATGAAATTAATTCTGCTTGATTTCCTTGAACAGATCATTATCTTCTCATGGGCATTAGGACTTGGCATAATCTGCATCAACATCTACTACTTGAGCACAGCATTTGTCGATTGGTTAATCCATAGCACTTGGCCAAAAGTTGCAAATGTGTTCATTGGGATGCTAGTGTTCCCCATCATGGCCATCTACATTCTCTCGGTGATCTATCTTATGCTTCGTAAAGACGTTGTGGTCACATTCATTGAGCCACCAAAATTCGACCCTAACGCTCAAGCTGTCATGGAAGGTGGACAAAATGGTGTTGACAGAAGGATGGAGTCGATGAATGCACCTTATAGAGAGGATCTTGCTGATATCCCATTGCCACAGTAATCAGCTGAAACATTTCAAGTGAATTCTAAGACGTAAATCGGTGTCCAGCTCTCTTACAGATAACATCTTCATACCTGCATATGTTCTTGGAGTTTCAGGGTCGGTCTTATCTGCATAATCTCGTATAATACTAAGGATGTTGGTTTTTCTTTTTTCATCAAGACTTGTTTGGACTAAACGTATGTCCAAATCAAGAGTATTAATTGTTTGTTTTGTGTGCTACATAAAAAGTTTGAAGATGCAATTTTGCCCTTATGAGCCATTGCTTTCAACACACACTTTTCACACACTAGATGGTGTCCACGCACACATATATATGACATGTATGTATAGTCATAGATTCATTTGAGAAGTGTTAAATGTATTAGAATTAGATAAACAATCCTAGCCCTTCCACTAAAAATTTAACGGTCAAGATTTGAGGGGTTGATTGTGCAGCACCGAATAATTCGGTCGCATGGTAACGACTATGTAGAAGATAAAGAGACAATTTTGTATTTTTTACAAATAAACGACAAAACAAGTGCATGTGTGAACCTACTTATGAACTATATGTGCATATGTGAACCTGTATGATTCACATATGAACTATTTGATTGATTTACATATAAACTATTTGACTGATTCACATATGAACCCGTGTGATTTACATATGAACTATTTAACTGATTCATATATGAACATGAATGATTCACAAATGAACTATTTTACGTCATTTACATGTGAACTATTTAATTGTTTCACAGATTAATTTTAGATTCACATATAGTACTATAGTTTTAGGATCAAAATCAACATCTTGCTTAAGATTGCTTTCTGGATTCAGATTATATTGAAAGAGCACAAAATTTGATGGAGAAAAAAATTAAGAAATTTGATAACCTAGAATTGCGATATATGATCGATAAAGAATCGAGAGAAATCGATGATAAATTCGTTAATGGGATCGAGATCCTATGTCGCCGACCAAACTTCCATTGTTGTCATCGATGATGATGATGATGATGATGATGAAGTGATCAATACGTTAACGAGATTAAGATCGTGATTATCGCTGCCGCTTTTTTCTAGTTACCATATTACCCTTCCTTTAAAAAAGTTGATCATTTGATCCAAGGGCTAGGATAACTTCTCTACTTCTTATACATTTAGCACTCCTATATATATAGGGTTAGTTTCTGGTGAGAAATAAAGTTATGATAAGAAGTTTAAGAATAGATCTCTATCTTTGGATCAATTCTAATTGAATGTCAACACTAATGAGGTATACCGAGATCACTACTAGAAAACTGGGCATCAGTGACATAAATTAGTGACGTAAAAAATCTCTCACTGATCAGCGAAAGAATCATTTTTTGGCAAATTCCCTCGTTAATTCGTTAATCCCTTGTAGATCAGCGAAAGAATCATTTTTTGGACAAATCCCCTGGTTGATCCCTTGCAGATCAGCGAGGGAACTGTTTTTGCCAATTCCCTCGTTAATCCCTCGTAGATCAGCGAGGGAATTAGTTTTTGCCAATGCCCTCGTCGATCCCTCACATATCAGCGAAGGATCAGTCCCAATACCGCTATTGAGTTCTGAAGGTCATCCGACTCAGAATCTGATCTTTCCGCTTCTACATCAAATTCCTGACCTTCACCTTCTCTATCATCATTAACCTCATCATCAGCAGGCAAACCCAGTAATACCCTTATCTCTTATGTGAAGACGTCCGACTTTTCAACCATAGGTTTGATCTCTAGGTTTTGATGCACAACCATTTCCATGCTCATTACCTTTTCACCAGAATGATTGGAATTATGCTCATCAGAATCTTCACTATCTTCCATCTCTACCCCTTGATTTCCCTAAGACTCAGCCGCTTTTTGCCTTTTGATCTCCCCCTCATGGTAATCAGGATCGTCCTGGTCATCATGTATTTGTTTAAGAGAAATGGCTTGAGCTCGGGAAGTAGTTTCAAGAATTGAAACTCTTTCTGACAGAAGATCTATTGAGTTTTGAAGGTTTAAGATACTTTGGGATGAGGAAGCAATTGTTGAACCAAGCTTTGACAAGCTCGGAACAACAATGTTTTGAAAATTATGAAACTCTGAGGCTTTAAGGGCTTTGGATTCTTCCAATGATTGTCTAAGCATACCAACCAAATTTGCATCTGCCGAGTCCATGTTAGGTTCAAAAATCATCTTAGCATAGAGCATGGACTTTAGATCATCCACCGAAAAGTTTTGTTCTTGTTTCGGTTGAGGTGGTGGCGGCGGAGCACGAGTTTCTTCTTCAACAGCTGGCTGCTTTCCCTTCTGCAATCTCTTTAACCCATTGATTTTCTTCCATTAACATATCTTGAACAACCTTTAGGACGTTGTTCATAAATTCCCATGACACAAGTCCGGTAATGTAACAACTAGATCACTTAGATTACCAGTTGAAATACACTATTGTTTATACATTCAGCGTTGGAATAGTGTTAGCGCTGATAGGACTTCCGACCTGTCCTCGTTGAAAGTCAGATGACTCTACTCTGGTCATTCCTGCTTGTTCACGAAGAACATCAGGTTGAGCAACAGATGCTCTAAGCTCTTGTGTACCTAATGTGTTTAACGGCTCTAGACTCAAAGTGGTAAGCAAAGAAATTGTAGACGTGGGTTGCTGTCTACTATTTTCAATATCTAGTTCCTCTGAATGAGGAACATACAAATTATATGCTAAATCCCCATGAGAAGATGAAACCGATACCTATTGGATTATATCGTATCGTATATTCCGATATTTTTAGCTACTGATTACTGAGGATCGCTTATTTATTTTGTTGATTTCTTCTCTCCTTTGATTTAGGATTGTTTGCTGGCCTTTCCTTGTTTTGCTAGCCTTTGCTTGTTTCTAGCTTTTCCTCTTGTATTTATTTCGACAATTGGTTTGGAATGAGAAATTAAGAGAGAAAGCATAATCTCTCTGATTACCAATTTCTTCATGGTATCAGAGCAAGGTTCGATGCAATTTAGATCATAAACAGCAAAACCCTTATGGCCGGCGATAAACCGGAAAACTCCCAAAACAATGGAGAATCAATCGACACCAATTCTCCGTATTATCTACATCCTTCCGACTACCCGAAACAACTCCATGTAAACGAAAATCTTACCGACAACAACTTCAATGATTGGAGCCAGGAGATGACCAATTTTTTATTCGCAAAGAACAAGATTGGTTTTGTCGACGGCTCTCTTCTCAAACCTGACAAGAATGATGGCAAGTATATGCAATAGATGCGGTGTGACGCCATGATCAAAGGATGGCTCACCACTGCTATGGAGAAGGAGATACGAAGCAGCGTGAAGTACGCTAACACAGCCCTCGAAATCTGGAATGACCTGCATGAGAGGTTTGGGAAGGAGAATGCTCCAAGAGCATACGAACTAAAGCAATCAGTCACGCAGACACGTCAAGAAGGAGCCTCTGTTTCAGCCTATTTCACCAAGCTAAGAAGCATATGGGATGAGATCGACTCCGTCTTGCCGACACCACGGTGTGAATGTAATGGCTGCAGTTGCAATGTTGGGAAAAAGATTACAGAACTCAAGGAAAAGAAAAGACTCTATGAGTTTTTGATGGGCCTCGATGCCGAGTTCTCTGTTATGAGAACTCAAATACTTGCTACAAAGCCAACACCAAGCCTTGGAACGGCATACCATCTAGTAGCCAAGGACGAACAGCAGCGAAACATTGCGGCTGGAAAAAGGACTACGTCCACTCCTGATGCGGCGGCTTTCCAAGCTTCGTCGCAAGTTAGCCGTGACAACCAGAACCACAAAAGGCCTTGGCAAAAGATCGACAAGACAGGACACTGCACCTTTTGTGGAAGAGACGGGCATGTTCGAGACGGGTGTTTCAAGCTTGTCGGTTACCCAGATTGGTGGCCGGGAAAGGGAAAGAAGGAGGTGATAAAGCCGAAGGCAGCCTTGGCCGAAGCTAGTACCAACAAGATACCAGGGTTAAACGATGAACAATATGAGATGTTTCTCAAAATGTTCGGCAAGATCGGCGATCAGAAAACTAACAACACTCCAAGGGAAAATATGGCAGGTAAATTTAACGACAAAGGTGACTGGATACTTGACTCAAGGGCAACCGAATATATAACCTATGATCGGGAGTCTCTTGAGAACCTTTTTACAGGTAACAAAGAAACACCGGTCACCATCCCAAATGGTGAAACCGTTCCCGTAGAAGGAAACGGTGAACTTATTTTTAAAGGGGGGATCAAAATCAAAGGGGTTCTTTTTATACCAAATTTCAAATGCAATATCTTGTCAGTTAGTCGATTAACAAAAGATTTGCAATGTGCCATCACTTTCTTCCTGGATTTCTTTGTCATACAGGGCTTGAAGACGAGGAACTTGATTGAAATGGGTAAGTGCATTGGCGGACTTTACAGAATGAGGGTCATGCAAGAAGATCAGAAAGCTATGGCGGTAACAACCTCAAATCAATGGCATAAAAGGCTTGGTCACCCATCGAATAGCAAGTTGTCTCATATTCCTTTTTGTAAGGTTACTAGTCATAATTCTAAGGAAGATATTTGTGATTCTTGTTTAAAGGCAAAATTAACTAGACTTCCTTTTCAAATAAGTACAATAAAGACGAATGATTGTTTCGATATGATTCATTGTGATATTTGGGGTGGCTATAGAACCTTTTCGCTTACATATGGGAGTTATTTTCTCACTATAGTCGATGACTATAGTAGGGCCGTTTGGGTTTACATAATCAAACATAAATATGAGGCAAGCGACTACTTGATCAWTTTTTATAGYCTTGTCCAAACGCAATTTAAAAGGAACATAAAACGAATCAGATGTGATAATGGAGGAGAATTTACCTCCAATCGCATGAGAAACTTCTACACCGATCATGGCATCGAACTCGAGACCACATGTCCAYACACCCCACAGCAAAATGGGGTAGCGGAAAGAAAACACAGACACCTCTTAGAAATAGCACGTGCCTTAAGGTTCGAAGGGAAGTTACCCATAAGGTTTTGGGGGGAATATGTCTTAACAGCTGCCTAGATCATCAATAGGTTACCATCCAAGGTAATCAAATACAAAACACCTTATGATATCATGTTTGGAAGGGAGCCTACTTATGATCACATGTGTGTCCTGGGATGTTTAGCATATTTCTAGAACACCGAAACAAAAGGAGATAAATTTGCTTCTAGAGGAAAGGCATGAGTTTTTTTGGGATACCCTTTTGGCACAAAAGGCTATAAAATCTACGATTTAGAGAAGGGGAAACTCATCGTTAGCAGGGATGTGAAATTCGTGGAAAATGTTTTTCCATTCTCAAATCGTAAGGACAATGTTGATCTAGGAGATGATGAGATTGTCACTGAATACCAACAAGTTCTTGGGCATGAATGCCATGCTGAGACCAACAAATCAAATATAACAGAGAATGATGGGAGCTGTTGTGATGAAAATACACAAAATAATCCCAGTGTGGTCCTTGAACAAGAGGCAATCGGTAGTATGGACCCCCCCCCCATACAAGTCGATGAACCTAATAGTCCACCATGCGAACCAACACAGGCCAATGGTGACCCACCGCCCAACGACGATCACCCACAGCAGCCCGCTCACAGTACTTTGGGCCGCACGTCTCAGCGGACCAAGACCCAACCAGCTCGTCTTAAAGATTATGAGGTGAATGTCCCTCCTTCTGTCGACCATGCACACCCAAGCTCCGATCAAGCTCCCTCTACGGTACATCCTCTAGCTCATTATATTTCATATGACAAGTTTTCTAACAGACACAAAGCTTTTATTTCGGCCATCACGTCACATGATGAGCCCAAAACTTTCTTTAAGGCATCACAAGATAAAAGATGGCGAGATGCCATGAAACGAGATATTAAGGCTCTTGAAGAGAATGGAACATGGTGTCTTGAACAGTTGCCTGATGGAAAGAAGGCCATAGGTTCCAAATGGGTGTACAAGATCAAATATAAGCCCAATGGTGAAATCGAACGCTACAAAGCTAGGCTCGTGGTGAAGGGTTTTACACAAATGGAGGGCGTGGATTGCCACGACACCTTCGCCCCTATTGCAAAATTAGTAACAATGCGAACCCTTCTTACCTTGGCTGTGAAAAAGGACTGGATCCTACACCAACTTGACGTCAATAATGCGTTATTGCATGGTGATCTTGACGAGGAGGTCTACATGAAACTCCTGCAAGGGTTCTCGAAAGACAATGATACACGTGTTTGCCGGCTCAAAAAGTCCTTATACGGTCTCAAACAAGCGTCGCGTAATTGGTACCATAAGTTCACAAGTGCCTTGTTGGAGCTCGGTTTTACCCAATCCAGGGCAGATTACTCGTTATTTGTGTATAAGCAAAATGAGGTTTTCGTGACAGCCTTGATTTATGTTGACGATGTGATTATTGCTGGAAATGACATAAGCATGATTCAGTACACAAAATCCCATATTCATGAAAGGTTTAGCATAAAAGATCTTGGTACTTTGAAGTACTTTTTGGGTATAGAAGTGGCTCACACGAAGGATGGTTTGGTCCTTAGTCAACGTAAGTATACACTTGACATTTTGGAGGATAGTGGTTTGCAGGGATGTCGTCCAAGTGGTTTTCCCATGGAGCAAAATCTCAAACTTGACAGAGGTGAAGGAGAGCAGAAAGTTGAAGCAAACAAGTATAGACGCTTGGTTGGAAGATTGCTATATTTACAAGCCACACGTCCAGATATTACATACGCTGTCAATGTGTTAAGTCAATTCGTGTCTGATCCTTGACAAAACCATATGAATGCTGTTACTCGTGTCTTAAGATACTTGAAGTCAACACCAGGTCAAGGCATCCTGTTACCACGAGCAGGAGGTCTGAAACTTGTCTCTTATTGTGATGCCGATTGGCTTGGGTGTTCCCTCTCGAGACGATCTCGTACCGGGTACTTACTCCTTCTTGGCGGTGCTCCTATCTCATGGAAGTCTAAGAAGCAATCAGTCGTTTACTGTTCCTCGGCTGAAGCAGAGTATAGATCCATGGCAACCACGGTTAGTGAAGTATTGTGGGTACGGTCATTACTTACAGAACTTAATGAAACCCCTGCGGAAGGTACTACCCTATTTTGTGACAATCAGGCTGCCAAACACATTGCGAACAACCCGGTCTTTCATGAAAGAACAAAGCATGTAGAAATGGATTGCTACTTTGTTCGTGAACGAGTCGAGTCAAAAGAAGTTCACCCAACGTATATTGATACAAAGCACCAAATTACCGATCTTCTTACCAAGCCATTAGGAGCTCAACACCTTCGAAGTTTACTTGTCAAGTTGAACATGCAAGATTTACACGCTCCAACTTGAGGGGGAATATTGGATTATATCGTATCGTATATTCCGGTATTTTTAGCTACTGATTACTGAGGATCGCTTATTTATTTTGTTGATTTCTTCTCTCCTTTGATTTAGGATTGTTTGCTGGCATTTCCTTGTTTTGCTAGCCTTTCCTTGTTTCTAGCTTTKCCTCTTGTATTTATTTCGACAATTGGTTTGGAATGAGAAATTAAGAGAGAAAGCATAATCTCTCTGATTACCAATTTCTTCAATACCTGTTGAGAGGCATCATAGTGGCTAGGATGGGTGTGCATTTGCATAGTTGGGTAGACTATGTCTTTTTCAATGTTAACATTCAACAAATGAATGTCAACAACAGATGTGTTTACCCAGCGTCTCCTAAAAATTTGGATAGGAACTGATATTTCTTTTTTTGTTCCTTTCACCCTCTCCATATTTTTCTTTTTCCCATTTGCACGACCTCTCTGAATTTTCAACTAATTATCCCTCTTCCATCATTAACAAGTCCAGAATATTATCAATTTCTCCTTCATAATCAAACTCCGGAATAGAATCATCGAAATTGAAGTCCGATGGTTGATGCTCTTCAACATACATCTGTTGAGCACCACCTAGATTTTGATCATTACCATCATTGTTGTCATTGTCATTATCATCATTAACATTGTCAGCTTGATCATCATTAATATCATAATCAGTTTCATTATCTTCCGAACTTGAAGAAGTTGAGGAAGCACTGCTTGCATATGATGCTTGATCAGAGTTTCCCCCTGTCGAGCCCCCTCAATCACATTTTTCCTTAACTCACAACCCTATTCAGATACCCCTTGTAAATGAACACGCTTTTCTAGACCTAGACCCTCACTACACTCAATTGAGGCATGGGTAGTTCCATGGATAAGTCCTTCCGGCTCTGGGTGGACTATAGGAACTATGGCTCTCTTATAATCTATCACACATGGAGAACTCTAATCAGCATAATTCAACAGCTCTTCTAGAATAGGCATGATTGAATCCAAGTCTTCAACTTCCAGATGTGGTCTTAAGAATTGCATCTTGTAATCTGGACCGAACGTGCTATCAAGTCTGGAAGGAATATCTTTATTAGAACACATCATGAATCAAATGATTAGTTGTAAGAATCGTTGAAATGGAACAAATTTCCTTGCTTTGGAGGCGATTCTTTTTACATTAACCAGATCCACAAGCTCATTCTAGATGACTATCACATAGTCATAGTGTTTGTTGAACACTATGCAATGGAAAAACTTGAGAAACGCTGTGTTAGGGTCTAAATTTTTACCATTTGATTCAAGACATAGTTTTATTAAAAAAATGATAATCAAATACCTAAACAAATCTTATAAATATTCCAAAATTAAAACAACTGTGATCGTGACAATTAGGGGAGTGTTTGGTTCACAGAATGAAATTTGATGGAGCTGGAAATCCATCAATGGAATTTGACTTTGAAGGAATTTGAATGAAATTTGACCATGTGTTTGGTTGGTAGGAACTGGAATGAAATCTCTCAATAGAATTGGAACAATCGTCTTTGTTTGGACTATCTCATCTATGACCCCACCCCACACCCTACCAACCACCATGTAACTATTGTCGTCATCACAACAATCACCCAACCCACCCCTACTAAACCCTGCCCCACCATCCCAAACCCGCCCCCACTAGTCCTGCCCTACCCCTGCTTCATAAGTGGGGGTTGTTGGGGACATGCAGGATAGGGCAAGGCAGTGGAGGTGGGCCAGAGTGGGGCAGTGGTAGTTGTGACGGCTACAGTGGTAAGATGGTGGTTAGTGTTGGGTTGGAGTAGGGTAAGGCGGGGCGGGGTAGGGATAGGGGCAGGGCAGGTGGGTATGATAGTGGTCGGGTGGCTGAGAGTGGGTGGGTATGACAACAACAGTAACAGTATGGTGGTTAGTAGTGGGTTGAGGTGGGGTGGGAGTGAGTGGCCGTTGTGACAACGACAATAATGGTATAGTGGTGGGGGTTAGGTTAGGGGCATGATAGTAACGATGCTAGCATGGTTGTAGTAAAGATGTGCAGTGAGTGACCGAGGGTGATGGGTGTGATGATAACATTGTGGCATGGTGGTTAGTGGTAGGGTGGGTGGCGGCGACAATAGTGGTTTGGTGGTGGTGGTGGGGGTTAGGGATGGGGCATGACGAACAATAGTAGCATGGTCTTGGTGGATGGTGATGGAATTCAATTCCTTCCATTATGCCAAGGAATGATAAATTCATCAACCGGTGGAATTCAATGGAATTTGAAAGATTCCATCCATTTCAAGAAATGAATCAAACAAAGTATTTGGAATTTGATCAAATGAATTTGTCATTCGAATTCTCTTGAAATGTTTGTTAATGGATAAATATATATATATATATATATATAGGGTATATTTCTTTTACAACCTTGTGCATTTGTACAACCTTTGCAACCCAATTAATTGAGATATTTATAAAAATGATTGGAGTTCATTTATTATGATTTGAATATTTATGGAATATGAATATAGTTTATTAATTATGATTAATACTTTATATTAGGAAACAATTAATTGATTAAAAATTGAATGGTTGAGATGAGGGTTGTATAGGGTGTAGGAATGGCAAAGGGTGTAGAATAACATCCCTCTATATATATATATATATATATATATATATAAATTCAAATAATTTATTCGGATAAAAAATTCGTTGCATGATTGGATCTTTCTAACAACTTAAAATAAAAATTATGGCATCAACGTTTTAACTCGTACATGTTTGCACAACCGAATGTCTTGGAAGGAAATTTTGAAACCATTGTTTTACGGGTTAGTTTTTGCACACCTCAGTTAATTAAATACGCCTCTGTATTGAGCAGTCACGCGAACCCTTCGGTGCTCCCCTTCGAAGACTTGAATCGTGGCACACTCGTTCGCATAGAACACGAAAATGGTGTTATTTCGAATACAAAGATGATCAAAACTTATTCAACTTTTTCAGGTATACACACAATTGTAGCGTCCGTTGTCATTTGGCTGCTCGTTGGATCTTCCCCGGATGATGTGTGAGCCTGAGCTATGAACTCGAGATTCCATAACACGTCGTCGATGGAACGTCGATCCTTAGAAAGGCATCCGAGACAAAGCTCCATTAGCATCCTCAATGATTCATTGGAGCATTCCTTACGAATCAAAGGATCCACGATACTCCTTCGAGCGACCTCATCCACCACCAAACTTACTTGTAACTGAAACAAAACAGTAATCAGAACAAAGTAGGTTATATTTTCGATCCAAACTCGTACACATTTTGGCTTTGTAAGATCAAACGATCTGCGGACATGTACACTAATCATACAACTCACCATATCTTTTGCAATAGTCGTGTCGCTGATGCAATTTATCGCCCTTCCGAGGATGAGTTCCAACATAATAACTCCCAAGTCGTAGACATGGTCATGATCATGATCATCTTCCTCGATGTCAAATCTAAAAGAATGTCGAAAAACTTTAATGGGAGATCCGATGAACAGCGGACCCGATCGACCCAAGAAGTTAAACAGAGATGCCATTTACCTTTTTCCAGAGGAAGGTTGTCTAGCAGCCACCTTAGTTTCTACTTGCAAAGGAAGATTGTAACCACTGATCTTCACATGGAAACTTTGATCCAACAAAACATTTGTTATTTTAAGGTTGTCCGGGAATATTCTTGGACCGATCCGTGTGTTTAGAAACTGAATCCCTTTCGAAATCCCGATAGCAGCTGAAAGTCTCTGTGCCCAAGAGAGCTTCTGTTCACCTGCCATTTTTATGTTCAGGTGAGTTAAAATCTTGGAGATTGTCTGTTTGATTTTAACGTCAAACAGACAGATTTTCGGCTTCCAGACTGTTAAAAACCATTATAGCTGTATAGAACTTTTGTAATCTAGATCAAAGCTTAATGGAAAACAGGAAAAGGTTCTGTAGAAGTGTTGCTAATTCAGATCAAGATTCTTATCGATTAATATTTCTTTCAAGTGAGTTGAATACTGACCGGAGAGGGAGGCTCTGAGTGTTCCATTTGGGACGAATTCGAACACGAGAAAGACACCACGGATGATGGCTAACTCGTCTGGCTGGCGGTCGAAGCAGTGACCGATGGGGTTGACCAGGTTCGGGTGTCTGAGTTTAGAAATGAGTTCAATCTGGCGAGTACAGCTTTGGATGGTGCACCTCTTTCTCATTTTCAAGTTTCTAATAGCAACCATGGTGCCATCGCTGAGCTGCCCTTTGTAAAGCTGATCATACATACAACATATCATATATAGTGAATTACCTAACTATGTAATCAGTGTCAATAACACTAAATTTAATCAAAATATCGTGTTGGAATCTGGACCAACCTGGCCATGAGAACCGTAGCCGACGAGTGTCGATACATGGAAGTTATTCGTGGCCTCAATCAGCTCCCCCATAACATAAGTTCGATAAGCCGAAATTCCGAGTGAACCCAACTTCATTGTCTCTGAAATATATCCTGCATTACATTGTTTCGTTGAGTCTGGTTTCGTTTTTATATGCCCTTCACTTTGTTCCGATTGGACAAAGGCTGAAGTCGTTCACAGGTACGGTTTTTAGGGGGATTTGGTCGAAAGACCGGTGACATGTACTCTCAAATGGAGGTGAAAGAGTGTAGTTTTAGGATATGTGGAACCTCTTGTATCTCTCTATAAGAGTTCTTATATAATGGAGAGCTCCCAATATATATATATATATACAAAGGATCGTATGAGTGGAAGTTATAGTGAGAAGCGTAAGTAGGTGATCATTTTTAATCTAACCCCATTCATGAATTGCGCTTATAATTAGGGGAATTAATCTGATGCATCACATTAGTATTGATCTTCAATTAGAATTGACTGATAGAAATCCCTTCTTACCATTCTCACTAAAATTTCCATTTTCATAGAAACCCAACTGTATAAGGTTGGGTTCCGATAAAAATGAGAGTTAAACCCCTCTAGGACCCTCAAAGACAAATTGTGTATGTCTAGCTTCCATGGGTGGTCATGTTGGAATCCCACATCACCTAGACTTGAGCCATTTCTGTTCAATATATAATATATACTTTGGAACATAACCTCAATTCTTTTGTCAATGACTCTTTTGGGTTCGGGTTCCGGATATTCTATCATATATACAGATTAGATCGGCCACGTCTATTCGATGTGAGAATCCAACGAATCTAACATTTTTACTATAAGCAGAAGGAAGGAAGCTTTACTTGCATCCTTGAGCATTTTGATGGTATAAGCAGGTGAAACCTTCTCAAGTAAGACCCTAATTTGAGGTGTTGCTGCACATCCTCCACCAAAAGACTTGCCTCTAATGGCAACCAACACCACACCAACCACCGCAACTCCGCCAACGACAACTCCCCCAACAACGCTCGTAGCAACGACTACTTTAACCTTCGACGACGACTTCAAATTGTCGTTTGCGCTTTCAGGCGGCTTAATCATTACAGCTAATGCTTCATTATGGCAAAATGAAACGTTATGCTGCTGTGACTTGTCCACATTTGACAGACAGTTCCCTCCATACAAAACTCTGTCATTTTCCATGGTCTTGGACTCCGATGAGTGCATACAACTCGGCAGCTCTCCGGTGAACCGGTTGAACGATAAGTCCACGAACACGAGGGCGTCACCACACGAGACGTTGATGGATAACTTTCCGGTGAACTTGTTGCCGGAAATGTTGAGGTACGCAAGTGAAGGAAGCGAAAACAAGAGATCTGGAAACGGCCCGCTGAATTCGTTTGAAGAAAGATCGAGCTTTTGAAGCTGGTAAAAGGAACGAAGATCATACCCTTGAATGCCATTGCGGAATCTGTTCCCACTCAGCACCAGAACTATCAGCCTGTTGTGCAAAACTGGAAAACTGGGTCCAAACTGGTTGCCTTCAAGATTAAGAACTTGAAGATTAGTCAAGTTCTTGAAATCAACCGGGACGTCACCGGATAAACGATTGAAGGAAAGATCAAGAACACGAAGAGAGACCAATCGAGAGAGTGAGAACGGTAAGAACCCATCAAGTGAATTGTTCTTGAAGCTCAAAACAGTCAAGGACGAGAGTGAACCAAGCCAATCTGGAACTTCCCCTGAGAAGTTATTGTGATCAAAGACTAGAGTTTGCAGGTTCTTCAAGTAAGAAAGCTCAAACCTTAAGTTTCCATGGAAATGGTTGGAACTGATGTTGAGAATTTCCAAAGAAGACAGAGTGTCGGCAAGAACAGTAGCAGGTAGAGGGCCATTTAAGGCTAGAGAAACCAAAGAGAGGACTTTCAAGCTCGGAAAAATGGTGGATATGGTGTAAAAGAAGGATTTGGTTGAGAGGGTTTGGTCACGGGGAAAGTGGTTGTTGTTCCCAGTGATGTGAAGCTGAGTGATGGTGTTGTTATAGCAGACGAGTGTTACAGATGAGTTTGGCGGTGCAGAAGGAAGGTTGATGACGACGCTGCTGGTAATGCTACTGGTGCAGTAATTATTTGTACCTCGTGCATTGAAGGTTGTAAGGAAGGTTTGCAGAGTGAGGAGGGATTGAGAGTGGCAATGGGGGAGAAGGAGAAGTGGTATAAGGAAGAAGAGGTGTAAGATGAAATGGTCCGCCATTGGAGGGGTTGAAAGCTGCACATTTGGTTCATTACACAAGTTGTAGGACTAAATTTACAGCAATTATATCCATTTTTTACGGCATCCACGAATCGAGTATCTATTTTAAGGAATTGGGGTTAATTTTGTACAAATTATATATATTTTTGGATCATGTTTTGATTTGATTTTGATCTTTATATTGATTTTATATAGAAAGAGACGTGACTTTTTTTTATAAACTCAAGCATGAATACAAATCATATAAACCAATAAATATGTCTATTGTTTTCTAATATTAAACGTTAGATCTTAATAAATGAACTTTGATAATCTTTTATAATTATCAAAATTATAATAAATGAACTATGATTATTTATATAAATATCTCAATTAAATTGGTTTTTATAGTTTATACTAATAGTTGGGTTAATTTATAAATAAAACCACATCTATCTCTCTCTTTCTCTCCCTCTCTCTACCTTGATTAAGACGCTCTGATAATATAGTGCAAAATTAAATACAATTGATTGGTAATTGTTTGCATTTCATATTTATCCGTTTTCTTACGTTTTTCTAAACCTAATTTCTTTTAAAAAACATATAATCTAAATCATTTTGTTGCTATTGAAAAACATATTTGTAATACTCTGGTTCGGAAGTCTGGTTAACCAGAGGACCTCTGTTGTTCTTTTAAAAAAAACATATTTGTAATACTCTAGCTCGAAAGTCTGCAGAGTTATCTTCAGATATCTGAAAAACTAGTCTTCAGACTTATCTTCAGATATCTGAAAAGCAAGTCTTTATAGTTATCTTCAGATATCTGAAATGTGCTTATAAGACTAAGTCTGAATCTGCACACTTATCTTCAAAGATTTTAAATGTGCTTACAAGACTAAGTCTGAATCTATAGACTTATCTTCAGAGATCTGAAAAACAAGTCTTGAGAATTATCTTTAAAGATCTGAAATGTGCTTACAAGACTAAGTCTAAATCTACAGACTTATCTTCAGAGATCTGAAAAACAGGTCTTCAGACTTATCTTCAGAGATCTGAAATGTGCTTACAAGATTAAGTCTGAATCTGCAGACTTATCTTCAGAGATTTGAGCCTCCAGATTTATCTTCAGAGATTTGAAAAATAAGACTTCAGAGTTCGGATGAGCTCAAGCGCCCAAATGCAAGTCTGAAGGAATATTTTTTCAGAGTTATTTCAAGAGAAAACCCGACAAGCGCTAAGTGTCAAATCTAAAGGCAAAGTCTGAAGACCTTGAGTTCAGAGCTAGACGAGAGGATAATGTTGATCCCATAACAACCTATTGCGATAAAGATTATATTTCCAATGGTCTCGATAATTTTTTCTAAGGTTCAAATGAACAACCAAAGCCCCGCCCCTCTGGTAGAGGCCCTCTTAAAACAAGTTCACTTCATTTCATCAATAGGATGCGACAATCCAAATCCTCGCATCACACAGATGCGATAACTTAAGGCCATCGCATCATAAGGATGCGATAACAAAACCCCATGATCAAAAAGATCATCATTCTCAGAAATTGATTATGTCACATTTATCCCAATATACTCAGCTCATGATTATGTCATTCTTATTACAAGAATATACCCAGTTCATGATTATGTCATCATTATTACAAAATAGTACCCAGCTACTTATTATATCACCTTTATTATGAAATAATACTCAGCTTCTTGATATGTCACCCTTATTTCCACACATGATATAATTTTGACAAAAACCACCATTTTACCAATAATGGCATCATAACAGTAACTCGTCTAAAGAACCATACGGTTCTATACCCAGTCTCACCATTATGCTAAAATAGCATCCAGAAACAGTTTTATCATCATCTCATATAAGAACCATACGCCATACGGTTCAAATTTCAAATACCAAATAAGAAAAGTTGATAAATTTAAACTCACTTTATGTTCACGTAGATGAAGATGAATTAGCACAACAACATATTCACGTAGAAATCACAAAATCAGTTTTCTTCTTCCCCCTTACAGGTTTGTTTACTTTTCATCAAAGAGAACACACACAGAAAAGCTTTCTTATCCTTCTTACTTATTTTTTTCCACCTCCTAATGAGATAACTACCATTAACTCATAATAATACTATTTTAAAATAATGAGACGGTGACAGTTTAAAACATTTTAAGCACATTAACACATTAAACTTCCACTTACCATCTTCTTTAAAAAACAACCCCAATCAATATAACCAAATAACACGGTTATCACAAATCATAGTTTACATAAAATTAAAGTTTGTTTAAATCTATATTTAATGTAAGTAATAATTTTTTTTAATTAAACGTAACAATTTTCTTATTCCTGTCCAATTTTAATAATAATTTATTGATATTAAAATACTTAATGACGTAGTTGTCTTGTTATCATATTACGGGTCAAAAAATATTTACTCACAATTTTCACAATTACAATTACAATCATTATAACAAAATCGACTTTATAAGATACTTCCAAATTCTACGTGTTCTAATAGATCTCTTTATAGGACATAGTTTATAGGGCCAAAAAATAAAGTGTCATATCTAAAGGTGTTGTAATAAGTTTATATGACGTTTTTTAATGTCGTAATAAGTTTTTTAGGACATTTTTAATATAAAGCGTCATATTATCAACTTTATACGACACTATTTGAAAAATCATCATATAAAAACAAATGTCCTATAAGAAATTGAATTTATAGGACACTTTATCAAAAGTGTTCTATTAAGTTGCTAATGCGACACTTTGTATTAAAATGTCCTAAAAAAACTTGTTAAGATGCTCAAAAGTGTCATATAAACTTAATACAACACCTTTAGATATGACGTTTTATTTTTTTGGTCATATAAATTAAATCTTATAAAACGGTCTACTGTAACGCTTAGAGATTGGGGGTGTCCTATAAACCCAATTTTGTTGTAGTGAATTTAGTGGGGTGTTTATTCAAACCATATAAACTATCCATAAATCACTATACGGTCCATACTACATCGCAATGTGTGGGTTAGAACTTCCGCAGTACAGTTTGTAGTTTGCATTTTTACCAAACCGGCACCATGCAGTTTACGGTTTTGAGTTATCAAACCGCGGTTCAAATTGCACTGCACCATGTATTTTATATATTTTTATTGTTATAACACACACACACACATATATATGGAATAATTCATTATTTATGTAGTATTTTCGGACCTTGTGTTTTAAACTTTAAGTTTGATCCAATATGACAATTAACAATATTAATAAATTAGCTCGGCATGTCACAACTCACACGTCCAATTTATTTTGATTTTTTTTTTTATTTCTTAGATTATTTTTAATTGTGCAACATGTATTTGGGAATCGGATGTATTGAAAGTCTTTGTTTTTTTTTTTTTGGAGTCTGGTTATTTTGCAGTGTGGTTTGGTGCAGTTTGAGATTTATACGATGCGATTTGCGTTTAAAAAAAGATGTAATAAAACAAATTTGATTATTTTGTGTCACATCAAATAAAAGAGTGAGTGTTGTCACGGGGATACCCGAAAGAATGAAAGAGTTAAAAAGGGATCGCATAAGCTTCCAAAATATAATTCACGTGTTTTGTTTCGTAGGGAACCCAAACCCCACGAACTTACCTTTTTGAGTCTCGTGAAAGACATGTCCCCATCTCTTATTTTTATATGTTTAATTTCACATAATATTTAATTTAAAAAAATCAAATATTACTATTACAAGGATTGGGTTGTGATAAAGATATTATATTAGGATGAGATGCACCGGATCAATGGTCCAGATTCCTTCTTGCGGAAGTGTTGGGACTAATTTATAAATTCAGGTCCGTGCAGTTACAGACGTAGTTCAGAAACTTTTTTATATTTTTGAAAAATACTGAGAGATAAATGGCTAAGAGATGAATAAAAAGTCTGAAAATAGCTGTTTTAATTAATTTTCCTGATGTAGTGTAATATATCTTTCAATTTTATTTTATAAGAGTTTGTTTGGCTTTGAAAAATCGATAAGGTCTTATGTTGGTTATTAGTTTTACGGAGTATTTTTCCGTATTAGTAGGGTTCAATTTTTTTTATCATGTTTTTGAAACATGTTTAGTACTAAAGGGTCGTTACTGAACACTTACCAAGTAAGCGTGCCGGTAAGAGTCACCACCACCACTTACCTTATCGGGTAAGTATCTCTGCCATCAAAATGGGTTATTAGTAAGCATGTTTTACTTAAAAAAAAATTATCCCGCACTTACCGGGTAAGATTCTCGGTCAATGTTATGCCTCTTACAAGAAGAGATTCCAGGTCCTTACCATGCTCACTAGGCGGGTAAGCGCTTACTGGATAAGCATTTGGTATACAACCTTAAATGTTATATAGTATTGTAAGATATATATTGTATGAATACACGCTTGTGAATATACTCGTGATTGAAATTTTGAAGCTAAATTTTGAAATAATTGTATGTATATATATATATATATATGTGTGTGTGTGTGTGTGTGTGTGTATGTATGTATGTATGTATGTATATATATGTATGTATGTATAGGGAGGTTCAAACGAGAATAATAACCAAATAAGAGAGCACCAAACAGCCAAATCACGTACTCAATTAATATTGATTTTACACTAACGGTAAACACATCAGTGTGCGAGCAACATAGCTCGAGACTCCAGTCACGTGAATCACATGTGATTTTACACTTGATGTTAGTGAAAAATCACATGTGATTCAACCATTTTATTATTTGCAATGCAACGGGATGCAATCAAGTACAATATAAAGATAAGGAATCGAAGTAAAAATTAGATTCATTGTTTATTGAACTTCACTAAAACAATTAGGGAAATCGATTATGTTGTCCCAAATAATTTCAGTTACAATGAAGGCAGGAACAAAAGTAAAAACCAATATTCTGATCAAATGAACCGGCAAAAATAAAAATCCAACTGCACCAAACTCTAATCTCCACTTTAACAGCCATCGTGAAAGCATCCATACCATATCAACATTCAAGACTCCACAAATCCCTTTCGCATTCGACAACATCCAATGAACACTTTTTCATTGAATATTATTCATTGTTTCTTGATTCTAATCCATGCTTTCTCTCAAATGGGGTCTATTTTCTCACTACAACAAAATCGGGTTTACAGGACACTCCTAATTCCTAAGCGTCCTAATAGACCTCTTTATAGGACTTAGTTTATTGGACCAAAAAAATAAAGTATTCTTTCTAAAGGCGTTGTAATACGTTTATATGACGTTTTTTGACGTCGTAATAAGTTTTTTTAAGACACTTTTAATATAAAGCGTCTCATTAGCAACTTTATATGACACTATTTGAAAACCTGTCATATAAAAAACAAGTGTCCTATGAAAACTTAAGTTTATAGATAGGTAGCTTTATAATGTGACACTTTTTATTAAAAATGTTTTAAAAAACTTGTTAAGACGCCCAAAAACGTCATATAAACTTATTACAACGCCTTTAGTAGTTTATCGATTGTTTTCCCAACAATTTTTGTGTCCCTGGGTGAAATAATGTTGTGGTGCTCTTTTGCAAATCGGCTTCCTGAAATGTTTTCATATCAAAACTGTACATTTTTCTTGACAATAATATTGGAATCATCCTCAAACAAGTGAATTTTTGGTTTGTACTCCAAGATTACATAAAACCAAAAACCAAACTCAGTTATCCCTCTTAATAGCAGTGTATGACGAATGTATGTAGATTTGTGCTACTTTCAAGTGGGATATACATACAAAAATTGCCCTATTCAACAACAAGTACACTTGTACTTATACCATACAAGTCTCTAAAACATAGCATCTCAACTTGTGATAACAAAAACAAACTAAAAGTTGCAAACTAGATCATGTATTTATAGGAAAAGTTGAGGTATCATGTTATAGGCTTGTATGATATACATTTGATCCATGATGTATGGCTTTTGTATTGTAGATTTTTTGATGAATTTGTTCTTGATGTTAATGCAATTTTTCTTGATATTTTTCATGGTTAATTTGGATTCGGATTTGATGAAAATCCCAATCCATAAGAATGATGTTTTAGATTTCGCCTTTTGATACTTTACGTGAAATTATTAGGGTTCACGGTTCATGTTATAATCCATTTGATCCCAGACTCATGGCATCAAATCCTGGAAGCTATTTCAGGCACAAGCCATTCATCAAAATGCTTAAAGCAGAAGCTAGCGCTTGCGGCTTCAGTTTACTATATCTGGCAAGAACGGAATCGAAGACTCTTTATGGAGAATCGCCGCACAACTGTACAACTTATCAAATAAATCAATAGCAAAATTTTCATTCGTGTGGCTTGGCTGGAGAGACGGGTTAAGCGGAATGATGGTTTACATGAAAGATAGGGTCTTGGTTTTTTTTGTTTTGGGGGGGGGGGGGGGGGGGGCTTTTATGAGGTTTAAGCTCCTTTCGTTTATTTTTTGTTGTTTGTTTGTCTGTTGGGCTTTGTACCTTCTGGTTTGTGGTGGCTTGGTATAGTGTGGTGACCAAGACTTTTGTCTTTCAGTTTTGTTGGATGTGGTAGTACGCCTAAACTCTGTATTTCTTTTATTGGTTTTATAAATTTGTCTGGTTTCCTTTTTGAAAAAAAAAGTTACAATTAAGATTCACAAGGAATCAGTTATTAGGCTAATAACCGAAACCGGTTATTAAGCTAGGATTCAAAAACTGAGTCAAGAACCCAATCACTCGACTAGTTTGCCCATCCATCTCTACGCAAAAGTCACCACCAGCGTTTTGCCCATCAAATATCAAAAAATGACACTTCTAACACAAACAAATTGATCAATTCACACAAGCAAAAATGGGACATAAGATGTCTTTGATTTATGCATCTATTCATATGAAAAAGAACTCCCATAACCACAAACTTGAACTCCAACATGATAACAAGCCAAAGGTATCTTCTATGGAAAAGCCAAAAGCAGTTGCATAACATCCATTGACCTCTTAACTGTTAGCTGCTACTACATGTTATCCGACCCAATGCTGCTTCATGAATTTACTAAAAACCTTGTTTGTTCCATAAGCATACATAATGCAAATATCACAATGCTAAATCGCTACATAATATCGCTGTACAATACCGACAATCTTAGCATCCTATGTGAGCAAGAACAAAAACAGCAATCGAGTCAGAATAACATGAGTAGCCTGCCTGCCTAATGAACAAATACCTTCTTCTGACATAATTCGGAGGAAAACACGAAATCTACTCAAACCCAGATCTACTTCCTGACACGGGTCTCAACATGGGATGAGGAGAGGCGGCGGATGATGATGACGGGTTTATAGCTGAAAGGGGCAGCCGTGGACCGAGACCAAACATAGGTTGTTGTGGGTGATTACTGGGAAATCCTGAAATGAACGGCTGTGCAGGTGACCCCTGTTGCCGGCTAGATCCAGCTGCAGCATTGTTAACCAGTGAAGGACCGACACCTGGCAAGCCTGTGGGTCTGGTTACACCACCACCAGGTCCAAACTGGGAGGAAAGGAGCAGACCTCGCTCAGCCGATACCCGTTGCCTTGCCCTCTCCAGTTGTTCACACTCTTTTATTAATAAGCTCTCAACTTCAGCAAATTGCTTCAGCTTCAACTCTAGCCTCTTCAACTGAAGGAAACACAAATTATCCATTTAAAAACAAACATGTGAAACTCTAGATGGTATAACAATAGTTTAACAACTAATATATCAATAAAATAAAGAAAGCCAATATTTGAGATCTCTCTCTACTAAAGATATACACACTCCGTCCCAAATGAATGTCCATAATAGGAAAAACACTTGTAATTATTCCAAACTGAATGATAAATAGAAGCAAACCTTCCCTATCGACATCTCATCAACTTAAATATTTGTGCATCATAACCAAGGGTAGCGTTTGAAATTTTGTAAATTATAACTTCCCATTATTGAAAGTGGACATTTATTTTGGGACAAACTTAAATAAAGTTGCAGACACTTATTTTGAATACTTGGTTCATTCTGAAAGTATGCAATGAGGCTTGAGCATGTTGCTTGAATTGGTGTGTATGAATATATAAAGATATAGAGCTTATATTTTGAGAAAATTCCAAGGATCAGCAACTCCTTTTATACAGGTAACTGTGGGTGTCTAGGCAAACACTCCAGTGACCCTGAGAGGACTTGAACTGCTGACCTAAGCAAACCCAAGACCTTACTGGTTAAGCTACCCCTCAAGGTTAAAACCCGTATTTATACTTGCATAAAGTAGGATGCATTTCCTAGTACACATCGCTCAACTTGTCATATTAAATCCGACCATTTGTTACACAATGGAGAAAAAGGACATGAAAAAATAACAATACAAAGTGCAGAAAGAAGGAAGAGATATAATGATTGTTATCCTTTCATATATCATTGTTAGGGTCTCATTAACGGATGGGGTGTGGTGTGATTTTATAACAGTATGATCAGTACATGAAAAATATATCTATATCGTATTCCTCTCTCCCAAAAACCACTGTTACTCTTCACCAAAATGTTTGATTGTTAGTCTAATGCGTTGTACACCCTCTACCAAGGACAAAATATAAGAATATTGTGCACAAAAATTATAGCATCAATAAGTAGTAATGATAGCTATAATGTTCCCCAAATGTTGGAGCTAATGCAACATCCCATAATAAGAAGTTTTGGGGTGGATGGAGTAGAAATTGACGACAAAAGTACCAGCATTAGAGCTTGGTAGAGGTGAAAGGGAAAACCATACTTTTTTTTTTTTTGTAAGGGTGTCCGGGCCAAAGCCCGACTAATCCCCGGCAATTTTGGAGGCTAAACATGGCCCCACTTAAATGTCGCCAACACTCCCCTCCCAGGGCTCGAACTTGGGTTCATGACTATGCCATGCCCAAGCCTTTACCACTAGGCTGGAAGGTCTTTGACAAGGGAAAACCATACTTGATGACAGAGAATAAACAAAAAGATCGAAATAAGTAGTCGTACATGACCTAATGAAGCTGCAGCTCTTGTGTCATGCATATCACCAAAATCTGATTCCTTAACTAATTAGAACATGTACATAAATAACAATAATAAACCAAACGAACGCAGTATATCCCGCAAACAGGTACGGTCTAGGATGTAGGCAGACTTTACCTCTACCCCAAGAGTAGAGATTTTCGGACCGCCGGTGCGAACCAAAAAAAATAACAGAGAACAAGTGTGGTAAGTAGCAATGAAGTGTGTGCAACCTAACAACAGGTGCAATGAGATGAAACAAACTACTAAAGCAGAAGGAACACTGGGTCTGGAAAACAAAGTGAGTTTGGCATACGGTCCATATGCTTTGAAAGGCAGACCCTGAACGAAGTCTAACCATAACGTTGGCATGCTTGGCTGTTAACGATAAAAGAGTAGAGTTCAAAAGTTTAAAAATTGATATATGGTGGACATATATATACCTGATGATTGATAATATTAGCAGACAGCCTTTGAATTTCTCGTTCTTCATGATCCGCAAACAGCTTTGCTTTCGTTGCAGCTGCTGCAAGACCAGCTCGTACTGCATTTCTCATCTTCTCAGAAGATATACAAGTGACATTGGCATCACCTTGGCTCCTGGCGCCTTGTACTCCCGAGATCTCGACTGAGAATTATATCACAACATAATCAGAAAAATAGGGCAGATGTAAAAACAAGACCAATTAGATCAAAAGCCACCTTTCTGTTGAACTGGGTTTCTGGTATCTGCACGAGTGCAATCATCTCTACCATTGATGGTTTCTGAATTCATCCTTCAGAACAGAACTCTCAAAAATTAGATTAAAGCAATGGCTTATGATGTTCATAGTCAACTGGTATAATTTTGAATTGCCATCAACAAGCAATACGTAACTGGGGAACTTAGAAAAAGAAAGAACATTTGACAAAGAAACAAGAGAATAGGCAATGATTCAGGGGAAAAAATGTAAAAACACAGCACAGAGCTTGGTAGAAATCAAATCCTTCAAGTAATACAAGAAAAGTCTGGCAACCTTATAAAGACTTCATCTGATATTAGATAGTCTTAGCTACACATACAACTCAACTTAACTGAACCCAACCAACTACTGTATCTGAAACTGATCAGGAAGCTAGTTGGGAATGCAGAAAGCAGAACATGTCATGAAGAAAAGATTTATTTTGTTGGCATGTGCCCTGCAAGCATACAACAAATCAATTGGTCTTACACTGCATGAGAAGAGCTCCTCATCCATTCTTTACTTTAGACTAATGATATGTGGGGATGTTAAAAAAGGAAAAAGATGATAATAAGGAACTTTATGATTGTAGTCTGAAGTTCCTGCTTACAGCACGGTAGTACAAACACAAAAGGATAAGTCAATGCAACATTTAAGGGTGCGTTTCATATGCGGATGAGACTGGGCAGAATGGGCTAGATGTAGGTGGGTGGGTGAAATAATTGTGGAACATTTTAGAGTTATAATTTGATATGGATAATTTGGTAATTTACCAATCTCATCTCATCTCCTTGATTTTTGCCTATTTTGGTGGGACAAAAATGTCGCACCAAACATGGGACAACAAGTTTTGTTCTGTCCTGTCGTGTCCCCCTGTACCAACCACATCCTAAAAGTAGAACAGAACGAAGAGATGTTGTGCCAGTATGAAGGAATCAAGTGTTAGTGAAATGAAGCAGGGGAGATTATGCAGCATGCAAGCTTCATGCAGAAGCTGAATTGATAGAGAGAGGATAAGCGAAGTCAGAACATAGATGCTAAGATCCCGGCTAACTAAACAAACATCCAGGTTTTAAGCAAGGATCTTCATTTGACTATCAATGAACATCAGAATCTTAAGTACATTTAGAAGAAAACTCGTCTCAAGCCAAAGTAGTAACCAAATGCGTTGCAAACCCAAAACGAGACATAACATACAGCTAGTGGTGCGAAGAGCACCTTTTTCCAAATTACAAAAAGAAAATAATATGAAATTAAAAGGCAATAAAGTAGCCATTTTACAAATTACAAATAGAAAATAATATGAAATTAAAAAGCAATAAAGTACTATTCAATGTTAAAAACAACAAACTGAATGAATAAATATAATACACCACATGATATGTCATTATAATCATCACAAAAGCCACCAACATACCAAACAATTAGCAAAAAATGATCATTTCATCAGCAACCACCAAACAGACAAACAGTTAGCAGCAATATTTCTAAATTTTGATGACAGTTTAGACAAAACTTAAAAGCGATGTTAGCAACAATATTTCTAAAATTTGATAAACATTTTAGTTAAAACCGACACGACAGTCTGTATTGCATGCATTTTGCTCGTGTCGTGCACAGATAAAAGTAATTTTATTTAAGTAAACGAATAAATTGATAACAACAAATTAGCCAGAAATTAATTAAATAGAACATAAATTGTGTATTCTAAAGCATCTGTTAGGTCAAACAATCAAAGGAGAAATTAGATATCAACTTTCAATAGATACATCACAAGGGAGGACAAAGAAGAGAGAGGGAGACAACAGGTCACAGGGATGATCTGATGACGTATAAAGAGAGAGGACAACCACGAAGATGAAGAGAGACAAAAGACGAGTTGTAAGAGGGAGACTACAAAAAGAAATCATGATGGTGAGCAAGACAAGAGGAAGACAATGGTAAGTTAATCAAGCGCTGGTGTGATTCTGATTTACGTAGAAAATTTGTAAAGGTTTTCATTTTGTGTAGGAATGCTAGGCAAGGGTCAATTATAATTACAGAGATCCCATGTAACTTATATACTTGCATCAACGTTCTTTTGTGTTCGGTTTAATTGGAGGCATCTTATAATCATTGTGGTATCGGCATATAACTCTTCTTGTCAATCAGTTCAAAGCTGAGTACTTCTAGCTGGCTATTTAAAATATCACATTAAAATGTGAACTCCAAATAAACCAAACCAAACCAAACCAAATCTATCTGGTAAGTCCCACTTGAAGGCAGGGTCTATAAAGGATAGGATGTATCCAGACCTTACCTCAACCACTAAAAATATAACAGGTAATCAGGAAATATAACTGGTTTAATGATTCAATTGTGTGTGCAAGATCAATTGTTTGCAAGCAGAAAATTTAAAAAGCTAAAACATGTAATACAAGTAGAACTAATATATGTTTAAACAGTGAAATCTAAGTAAGTTTGCTTTTACTGGAACACAGCACACTGGGGTCAAACTTCACTATACAGTACTAACAAGAAACAAATACATAGCGACTTAATGACTAAACTGAGAGATAAAAAAAATGTGCATCGCTTCATAAGCTTCTGTTACTAAATGCACGATCCCAAAGCAAATTAGTCCACCTAAAAAACCTTAAGCTGATGTTCATAGTAACTAAAGAAAATTACCTATTTTCAGACACAGATCCGTCCACCACTCCCGCATTTTCAGAAGCACCTAAATGATCATCCTCAGACAATGCTGCCAAAGATGCATGGGCACAGGCTGCAGCCACTCTCGGTCCCACTGCAGACGCCAAAAAGGCAACCTAAAAAATCGAACAGAAAGGTAAAACATGAGACAGAAATAGGATATCCCATCAATGGAAGTCCTTAACATAGACCAAAAATAGGAGGTTACTCATATAAGCTACGACATCCATGGATCTCAAGATAGCTGTTGTCAGTTTTTGATGTGGCCATCATCATTAATTGTATACTGCTAGTTGAGTACCCGCACAATGCCGCGGGAGCCGTGAATTATAACGATTTTGAAGTTTCACTGGTTTTATTATAGAAGATTTAACGATGATATAAGTTACACTTGCTCTTTACATATTAATACAATTTGAATAAATAAAAGTTATGGTTCCAATTACAGTCTATCGATGAAAAAAATTGTATAACAGTTTAAAATCCAATATATTTAAAATCCGACATATTTAAATGACTCCACAAATGTGTTCGATTACACCAAGAGCAAAGAATTAAGAGATCGAGAGCGAGACTGAGAGTTCTAGAGCAATTGAATGGGAGAACTTTTAATAACTCATGGTGAATATCGGTTTGAATCTCACTTTGGGAGATGGGGAGAAGACACATAGAGGTATGAGAGGGTGAAGGCATGAGTGAAAGGTGACAAAAGTATCTTGGGAACATGAAAAGAAAAGGCAATAATGTGCATTGGTAACTTGTACTGTATGTTATTTTAATTGTAGATCATGAGATTTTAAGACCGAATGCATAAAGTAGTAGTACTTAATGCATTATGAGTTGTTTTTTAGACTTTTAAGACTCTGTGCATAAATGTATAGTACTTTGTGCATTAAAAATTGTTTTTTAAAAAGACTTTTACTAAATCTGGTTTATAAGGTAGTATAGATTAATAGAGTCCTCTTTGTTCAGTAAAAACAGAATGAATTAGCTCAATAATGCATATTCAGCACTCCGTCCTAGCCAATACAGTTTGAATACATTGTGCTTGCGGAAACTCATATCAACAAAAAGAAAACTCCCCTCCTCAAGGACTAATACTAGTTTTTTTCTCTTTTACTGAGGGGTCTTAGAATAAATATTATATACATCACAATAATTTCTTGAATATGTGTAATATTAATAGGTTTGAAAAAATTTCCTCAAGATGCATGCCATAGTAAACTATAAAATTGGGACTACCAGAGTCCTATTTAGTCCCAAGATTGCTGCAATGCTTTTTTCAGTTCTCCTTAACTTTTTCTTGCTTTTACTTATCCCTCTCTTCACACAAATTTCATTTTTGCAAATTTTTTTACAAGCCAAGGGTCTTGACAGAAACAGTCTCTTTACCCCTCGGGGTAGAGGAAAGGCAGTGTACATCTTACCCTCCCCACACACTACTTCATGTGCAGTTCACTGATTTGGTTTGGTTTGGTTTGGTTTGGTTTGGTTTGGTTTGGTTTGGTTTGGTTTGGTTTGGTTTGGTTTGGTTTAGACTTCAGAGTCCTTTTTGGCTATATAACCAAACTTAAATGCATCAATGTATCACACTCCGATGGTTTACCTCTTATGCAGATGATAAGTATTCTACTTTTAGTTAATTCCTTCATCAAACAGAACTGCTCTTTCAAGGATCAATGGACTCATAATAATTTGAAGAGCTTGAAATGTTTAACAAAAAAATGGAATATTCAGGATGATTGTTTGACTTTGACATGTTCTGACTTGAAGATGATACACGCTGTAAGTGCTCAAGTACTCTATTGCAACTTGCACAAACACTCAGATCAAAAATGTATAGCACAAGTTCCACATATGATCATTATAACAGTAGTGAATTTCAAGTCTTTCTCTTTAGTGCTCTTTATCTCAAATTATCTTGCACAATTCCCTGACAACAAATATCAATGAACAGTTGATACATATATCAATGTGAGTGACTGAATACCCCTTTAGAGTATGATACTAGTGTCTAATCATATGAACAAAGCATAAAGTAGTCTTGATGGTGATAAGTAAAAAAATCAATCCTAAATTATTGGTTAAGTCATAAAGGAAGCAGTTCTCCCGTTAAATATACTAAAGACTTCCTTTTTGTGAGGGTATGCATGTTTGGTGGGTGAGAATGATGCTGACAGCATTTGCTGGAAGTAAGTCCACAAAAAGTACACACCAATTTAGGGAGCATTGGCTACTGGAGTTCTAAAAATCTGTGTTTAGAGCCACTTAAGCATCTGCCTAGGCATTAAGTGTCTCCCATCGCTTCAGTTAGTTATAACTGCTTAAGCAACCACCTAGGAGGTAAGCACCACCAACCACTTTGATCAGCAACTGATCATTGAACTAGGCAATCTCAAAAGATCAGAATAATCAACTCTTCTCTACTTGTGTTAGTCTATCAACTTTCTCAGCCTGGAAGGGAACTTCCCAATTCTTTCTTAGGTAACTGTATCTAATGAAGCTAGTCACTAGTCATTCAGAGAATTACTTGCATCAAAGAATATAGTATAAACTTTTTAACTCTCATTTGTTTACGTAATCTAAAACGTAAAAAGTGATTATATTCTATGTATTAAAATGCGAGGAAAAAAAGTTTTGATAAGAAATGCTCAATTTTTCACACTCGTGCTATGGTTAAACGATCCTCTTTGGATGAACTGCCTTAACTTGGGCAATTAAGCACTATAAGGTCACTCAACTGCCTTGCTCATTTCAATGCTTTTTATAACATTGATGGCTGCTTTCGCCAAAGTCTTACATTAAAAGCGAGATTATTTAAAAGCAAATCTAGGGAGCATACCCACATGCCACATCTAACACTAGAATAACCAATTTCTGGTATCAAAAGCACCTTCTGAAGCAACCCCAGCAAACCACTAGTAATCAAACAATTAACTAATTAAGTTATCCATCTTTTCTATAAAATTAAAAAGGTGTATGAAACAAGAGCTACATAGTTGCAACCACATGGTACATAATTTTAGGTTAATATATGTCCAAGACATATAATAAATCTTGACAAAAGGGAACTCACCTGAGACATTACAGGATTTCCAGATTTTTCGAATGGCAATCTGTCTTCAAATTCAGGGTCTTCAATGATGGATGCTATATTGGCAAGAGAATGTTGCAGGTATAACTTTCATTAGCTAACCAACCTGCCACATAGAAAACAGAAATTGAGAGTTGTAGACATACCTTTCCCATTTGCATACGATTGTGGTTTTCCACATCCATTACCATTGGGCAAGTTTGAAGCAGCTGGAACTTCAATACTTTCCAGAGGAGTCTCATCTATAGAGAGGCGTACGAAATGGAGGATACATTGAGCTTTTGACTTGGTGCCAACATGCTCAGCAATCTCAATCCAATTCTCATTGAAGAGTTCCATACCCTCCAGCAACAATAAGGTTTCCTGATTAGTCCAGCTATCTGCTTCAAGATCTCCATAATACTTGGTGGAATCAACCTTTATAAAATCCAGGCTTGAATGACCAGCAACAAATGCCCCCTCATTGAAGCAGTTCAAGCATAATAGTGTCTCAATCTGCCGAAGAAAGTTATCTCACCATAAAGTAGCACAAAAGTAATGCAGACACAGGAAAATTGAAATCTTTAACAAACAAATGCATTTCAGGCCTGTAAATCAGTGAAAAGTTCGTTCATGAAACATGAGAAGTTTAGATAGTACTAATGTTCCATCATGTTCTAATAGAGATGATGCGTTAAAGCATTAAAGATAAATAGATATTATTCTCTTGTCCTCAAACTTGATTAGTAACCAGAAATTTCACATTAAAGTTTAATATTAGAGTTCATAACAGTTGTACGTTGGGAATATTGCTCTACACCAATAATAAATATTTAAGCATAACGCTTTTCTAGTTCATACAATGGTATATGGGGTATTTGTTTTGTCAACCTATGCAAGATATGGGGCAGCACACATTTCCTAGTGCATGCTACTGTGTATTTCATCTTATTGATAATTTTTTGTCTGCTCGTATATAGCTAAATGCATCCATGTGACATCATGAAGTGAATACCAACAAATTTTGATAATTGATAATATCTTGGTCAAGGTATCTCCCTATTTGCCTTTACTTGTGATTAAGTCATAGACGTTCCTCAATGCTAGAACTTGTCAATGCTTTGTAGTTTTTAAGCCTCCAACTACGGATCATATGTCATCAATAATTTATGCACGTATTCCTTCATTCACACTTTATAAGTTCTGAACATTATCCATCACATAGAAGAAATGAACAACTGGGACAGTACTGCATATAGTTAACCATGGAATAGGTACTGCATATAGTTAACCTCTAAGTTTTGCTCATATGGATTTCAGACTTTCAGGAAGTGTGACTTGGAAAGAGAAGGATCACAAATGCTAAACAAGAAATAGCAAGTACAAACTGGTTGGTAAATCACCTCTTTGAGGGACTGATAGTAGACAATACCAAGAGATATAGAGCAATGATTGCACCGATTTTCAGATAATAGCTCACGTATTCTGCTGTCCAAATCAGAGTTTTCATCACTATCAACAGCCAATTCTGGATATATATCTGCTGCTTTTATCCTACACCTAGGTTTATCAAATTGGATTAAGCTATCAATAGATCGCAAAGCCGTGGCCGGCACACGTAATTCTCCTTTTAAATCCTCTGTCAGATACGAGCCCTCATTTCTAGGATCATGATTATTCAGCGGAGCAGCACAATAATTGATGACACCCCAGTTCTCAAGAAATCGCACAACTCTAGTTACATCATCAGCATCAACACCGACTAGAAAAGCTTGGCAATCAGAAGTTGACAACCTCCTTGCTGGATTTTCCATGTATTTAGCAACAATTCGGTTACGACAATCCATGTACTTTTCTGGAGTGTGGTCCATTGATTTCCCTGAGAAAAAATGTGGAACCGCCTGTCTCTCTAGCCTGTTTACTGTTGTTGGTGAAAACCAATCTGCTTGAAAGAAGCACCAAACCCACAACAGATAATCAAATGAAAGCCACTTTATATATAAAAATCCATGTGGCGCCTACAATTACTAAATACTTAATTATCTAAGAGAGAAGAAGAATAAAGCGAATAGAAGCAGAATTAATCAACACACAAATGAAAGCCCAAATGTGTCTTTGCAGGGTAATGATAAGCTTATAGTGTTATACCTGCGTGCATTGGCACAACGTGGACCCGATTCGACCCATATCTCTTGATAACACCACGACCCTCCATAATGGGAGGCGGTGTAATTACAAAAGACCCTTCTGAGTCTCCGCCAGTCAGAGCAGGAGCATCCCTAGGCATGGCAGACAACGCCTGGAGCTGGCCGTGTGAAATATTCTCCAAGAAGGGGCAGTTCATGCCACCACTGCTACTGTCTCCAGTTTGGCAAGCTCTCTCCCTGGCAACAATTTGAATCACCGAGTAATGGTGCTGATTTACCGTCTGCTTGATCACAGAAGGAAAGGTGGAGATTCGTACGGCGCCATCGGATATGACCTCACTCTCTGCTCCTGTGGCGGCAGTGGGATCGGATGAATTGCTGAGGTCATCATCAAATTCAGGATGTGGGTTCTGCTGATCGAGGTCGACATCGTCTTCTTCTTCATAATCCTCCTCGTCCTCGTCGTGGTGGTGTTGGGGTTGAGGTCTAGGTTTTCGGGACTGCTCTCCTCGCTTCCGCTTCCTCCACCTGTTCCTAGTTTCTGTGGAGATTCAAAATCCACATCCAAATCAAACCCAAAACCCAAAATTGAAGTTATTTCAAAGCTCAATCTGAAAATGAAAAAAGAATCAAAGCCTCACAGGTACCAATTGTGGTGTGTATATATACGTATATATATATATGAGAGAGAGAGAGAGAGTCTGTACCTGAGGAGGAGGCTGGCATTATTGCTGCGAGAGAGAGAGGGAGAGAGAAGGGGGGAGAAGAAGGGGTTTAGAGGAATTGTGGGGTCCGTGAATGGTGGAAGTATGGGAGAGAGAGGACAAGAAAACACGATAGAGAGAGGGGGGAGAAGGGTTTCCTATGTATCTTTCTTCCCCAAAACACAAGAAAACGAGATTGCGCAGAGAAAATTTATCTTGCTTTTCTATCCAAAAATGTATACATACAAAAACTAAGAGGACTAACAAGAAAATATGTTAAATTTTACATTTTTACCACTAAACTTTCATGTTTCTTACTTTAATCAACATTTTGAATAAGTATCTATTGCATATGTATCTTTTTAAGTATCCATCTAGATATTTGTACAATTAATGCAACTCAATATCAATTATCCATTTAATTTGATGAATATGTGATTTTATAAAAAATTTGATTGTTTCCTAATATAAAGTATTGATCATAATTAATGAACTTTAGTAATCTTCCATAAATATTTAAATCATAATAAATGAACTCTCATTATTTCCATAAATATCCCAATTGATTGGGTTGTATTGGTTGTACAAATGTACATGATTGCATTTGAAATATATCCTACTCATTTATGCCCAAATTTAATTTTATAGCAGATTTGTAATTAGTTTTAATATGAATTGTTTTCTAATTATGATTAATACTTCTTCTTTTTTCAAATTATAGCTAATATTTTCTTTTTATCGCCACATAACTATTGTTTTCGAACGTGGACTTGTTTAAAGACTTGTCATCCTATCATCTGATGATCATTTATGTATAGTCTTCCGAGAAACACTCAATCATATCTCAAAAGGGATAAACTATGTTGTCCAACATCTTAACAAATTAGTTCATAGCCCGTGAGCTTTCCATCTTCTAACATAGGGATGGCAAAAGGAACCAGCACCTCGATGGGGAACCCAATACCCAACCCCTATTTGATCGGGGAATCCCCAAGTTGATCGAAAATGGGGATGGGGAATCCCCGAATTTATAAACCGGGAATGGGGGCGGACATGGGGATACCCTTCATCCCCAATGCTGATTACTAAGTATACATTTCTGTGTGTGTGTGTGTGTGTGTATATATATATATATATATATATATATATAGAGAGAGAGAGAGAGAGAG